CGCCTGGGCACCCTGCTGGCTCATATTCAGCCGCCTGTTGACCAGCACCCAGCTTGGTGTCACCTGCAAACTGGCTGAGGGTGCCCTCGATCCCCACATCCAGGTCACGGATAAGGATGTTAAACAGAACTGGCCCCAGCACTGAGCCCTGGGGACACCGCCTGTGACCGGCCCCCAGCTGCATTTAACTCCATTCATCCCCCCTCCCTGGGCCTGCCCCCCCTGTCCCCCCCCCAGGCACTTTTTTACCCTGGAAAATCCTCTGCTGTGTGAGAAGACCAGGGCTGGGCAGCTCCTTCTCAGGCTCCAACCTCACATCCCAACCACCGGGATGAGAAGAGCCTTTTAAAACAGACTTTTAAAACCGCTTTTGCTGGTTGTTCGCAAGCGATTTGGGTTATTTGGAACCTCCCTGAAGCGGGCGTCTGTCCGGCCGGGGCAGGGCCGTCCTGTCCTCTCCCTTAGGGAAGCGCCCTCGGCGCCCCGTCGGGCATCTTCCCTGCTGTGCTGGGGGCCAAGTTTTCAGCCAGAAAATGAGGTAGGCCATGGGGGGAGAAAAAACACATCCCCCAAAATCCTCAGAAGAAACAAGCGTCTGCGACCTGCCTGTGCAGCTGGCAGTATTATGGTCTGTTTCTTGACCCCCTAGTTAATGGGTTTGCTTCCTGATCCAGTGGGGCTCTCGGCGTTTGCTTTAAAAAGAGTCTGTGAAATTAGGGAAGGGCCCGGTTGTAACCAGAGCCTAATGTAGCTGAAGTCCTAAATTCTCTCCGAGGAGCTGCCTGAAGCTTTACTGAAAGCCGTCCCTTTCGCCAGGATTTTAAATGAGGCGTGATGCCTGCGTTGCTCTAATGTTTCCCTCTTGCTTTCCTTGCACCCAGGATTTCAACAAGCGTTAGAGAACTGGAGAACTTCAGGCACATGTTACGAAAGATGCGGTGAATTCACGGGGGAAAGAGAGACTTAAAACTTTTTACTGCTTGGTTGTTCTGGGTTCTCAAAAAAAGGGAGGAAGGCCATCGTTCCATCACACTCCCAACCACTCAGCGCTGACGGCCACTTTGCTGGCCCTCCCGTGCCCAGCGGCTTGTCTGTGACCTGCTGATGACAAATTGTCTGTACGGGGGGGGGGAAAAAAAAAAGCTACTTTTTTTGTATAAAAGTGGGGACTAGATGTAAAGCTTATTTTAAATATGGGAAGATCACTGGGAATAACTTCTTTAAATGTTGCTGTACTGTTTTGATGGAGTAGACCTGTCTCTTTGCCTTCAGAACCTGGAGGTAGGGCAAGAACTGTGACACCAAATAAATTTTGGGAAAATTTGTCCGCTCTGTGATTCCAACCAGGGGCCCTACGCGAACTTTCTGCTGCATAAAACAGCCTGCGAGGGGTTGTAGGAGCCTCCCTTTTCCCGGGGCAAGGGGCTGGTCCCGAGGGTCTCTGCCCTGAGGCCGTGCCCGAGGCGTCGGTGATTGCTTCCCTGCTGAAGCCAAGGGGCGGTGAACCAAGCAGCAGCGGGGGGAAGCTTGGGCCAGCCTCGTGCCTCCAGGGAGAGAATCCCATGGGAGCAACAGTGCTGGTCCCCTGGTGGGGTGAGGAGCAGAAGTGCCCGTGGAAGCGGGGCTCTGGGTTTGGGCTCTTGGGGGGAGGAGAGGGTGGGTACGTGAGGAGCCCAGGGCCAGCACAGCCCTCTTCTGCCTGCTCTGCTGTCGCCAGACAAGGGGGCGTC